TTTAATCTTAAATATCTTTAAGAAAATTGTTATTATAAATAATAATTTAAAATTTTTATTCCTTATCATTTCTGCTTTAAATAAATGATAATAAATTGCAAAATATTTATTTCAATAAGTCGCCTCCATACATTTAGGAAATATTTATCAATTAAAAGTAAGTCAATTTTGTGCGCGCGCGCTGTGTGTGTGTGTGTGTGTGTGTGTATGTGTGTGTGCGTGTGTGTGTGTGTGTGATCACGAATTATTGATTGTTAATTATTAATAATTATTAATAATTATTCGCGGACAATAATCATGGCTTTGTAATAGCACATTTTGCGCCGTAAAAATCGAGGCTTAAATACCATGTATTAGATAGATCGCTATAATGCAGCTACAAAGGAGCTATAAAATAAATTATCCCTAATTATTAATAGAAAATTATCACGCCTTTAGTACTTGCTATGATCGCGTCTTAAAAGATAAAGTCTCACTATACAAATGATACATATACTTGGCTTTGCGTAACACGTGTTATAACAACACGAACACTAAGATCCCAACCAGAGTTTCACAGAAGTTTAATGTAGAAAATAAATTTCATTGTATACTTCATTTCTTGTAATTTAAACTAGTTATGACAAACGAACTATTATCACGTTACACGTTAAAGTCAACATATATTAAAATAACAAGATTAAAGTTATCTTCTTACAAAAAAAGAAATGTATGCATAAAAATATTACCGTTTTTTTTTCGGATTAATCTTTTTTTCAAATTTTTTAACGGATAAAGTAAAATATAAAGCAATTTTAATGAAACAGGATAATGAGAGATTAAATTATCATTAAAAATATTTGAAAAAATAATGTATAATAATAAATTAATTTTCATTTTCGAATCAAAGCAATGTTGACGCCATTAACGTTATTATATTTTAAAATTATATTTAATTAATCGTTTTAAAGTTATATTATTAGTATTATTAAAATCAATTGTACAAATTTTTATATTAAAATAAAAATGAAAAGAATTATAATAATTGCAATGTTCTAGAAATCAATATATCATTATTTATATATAAGAAATTGTATTATATCAAAATTTTGTTATGTATATCCTGAAAATTATATATTGTGACTCTTCAATATATTTTTATTAATAAAAAATTTAAGGCTCCAATTAATATCCAGAATATTAAAATCGCTGAAGCTCCGTATAATCACTTGCTTATATTACGTTCATATTTTAACATGGTTTATATTTTGCACCTGTGTCAAAATATAAGATACAAAAAATTAATAACATAATTTATAAAGTAAAAAAAAATATTTTTTGCATATAAACTGACATTAGGTACCGTAAACATTATAATAAATAAAAATATGAAATTTGAGTATTTCAATTTTAAAATAAAAGAGAGAGAAAGAAAACTTTTCATTAAAAAGGCGTCATAATATTTATCGGTAATGGCACGTCACTAAATTCTGTTTGTTTCAATTTATTCAGCCATTGACATGTTTAGCGAACAGAAATTTCGCAATATATTTTACAAACGGCTTACTTAGTGTTTATGTATGTACGTCACTCTTCAAATAACTCGTAAAATTCAGCCAACAAAATTGCCGACTTCTCGCGGCATGCCGCGATATGTCCTACATCTTCGTCACATACCGCGACCGTAAAATTCAACTTCCTCTCATCCTCTGAAGGAAAAGCTATTTTCCTTAGAGCGTGGCATTTCACGTTGTCGCAATTGCGATAAATTATAGCGCACATATCTGCGTAATCAATTATATTAACGTCGCAACACAGTGGCAATGCAAATATCGCTCACTATAGTTTAGGAAGAGCATTTTATTCACGTGAAGCATTTCAATAGTCGGTTTTCAACAGCCACGGAAACAAATATCTGTTTCGCATTTTGCTAACGAGTCATCGTTTTATACAGAACATGAAATATCATGTTTTAAATTTTTTTAAAAAAAGTATGTTAATTTATGATTTATAAATGATTGCCGATAATATTGAGAAGTAACTTTTTTAATCGACTGATCTTTTAAAATGACATATTGATTAAAATAGAAAGCAATATATTTATTGATAACTTTTCGCAATGCTGCTTTGTGACTGTCACGCATTTATAAAAATTGATAGATACCTACAATATCTTGTGTCACGAAGGGAAGATAATTTTTCTTTAGGATACTGTAGTATTACGCATTGTAAAGATGTCGAAGCATTTCCGAAGCGCGAAGATCGCGGAACCATTTTTAGTCGCGTCTGTCACCGCGGGAATGTCAGATAAATCGATCAGCGGCTTTCATAAAATGCGTTTTTCCTACCTTCCATTTGGCCTCATAAAATTCACATAACCGAGTTACATTAGATGATACTAGCTACTATTGCTATTGCTGCTGCTGCCAGCCGCGAATTTAAATTCAATACGCAGAGGTTCTTCTCGCGCTAGAGGCGGGCGAACTTTTCTCGTAAGTCAGTTTCTTTGTATCGTTCACCAGACACGAGCATCATATTGAATCTCTCTTTGTCTCGAAGTGCCTCTTCCGCATCGCAATTACATAATGGCCATATGATAAATTACAATGTGTAATATTTTCTTTTGCAAACCGGACAAAAGTTGCAGGCGCTCTGCATAAAAAAAATAAAGCTATATTAAAATATATTAAATATAATATGTAAATATGTAGTACCAACGAGAGAGTGAATTTCATGATTATAATGTCGCAAATATTGTGCCTTCGAAATATCTTTATACAGAGAGAGATCGGTTTTGAGGATCTAGATATTTAGGTAGATATAGATCTGAAAATAATTTTATTGGAGTATCAAAATAATTATGTAGGAATCTCAAGCATGATGAGTAATGCTGTAAAAAGTTTTGACATTCTAGCAACCAGTTTGAACGCGTTTTACATAATTATTTTGATAACCTAATAAAATTATTTTTAGATTTATATCTAGCTAAATTTTTAAATACTTTGGCAAAATTGTTCTTTCTATGTACTTTCTTGATAAACATTAAATATTATAATAATAAAATGGGGTACTACGACAATTACGTTTATTGCTTATAAAGCTTTATTTTTTAACAAATAAAACTATGTAGAGTACTTTTTTATATTGATTGAAATATCGGTTCACAAGAAAGCTCACATAGATCGAAGCTATAGTTATTAAATCGTACGCGGAATGCTACGGTAAAATGTGCAAATTCGTTCACAAAGGTAAGTGTTAAAAGTAACAGGAATTCAGTTTCCAATATTAAATCCTGCTATAGCAGTGATTGTCCGACCACGGCGAGAAAAAATATAGTCGATAGAATTTCCATCACATAGCTTACCAATTTCCTGTATTGCCTTCACTACTGTCGCAATTTGGAAATTCTCGAATCTTACTGCATGAGATATTATATTGTTATATTTTTTTACATGAATAAAACACGTTCACGATTAAATACGTGTTATATATTATTTATTTGATAGTTAATAATGTATGCAGCAAATCATTATAAAATTATCAAAATAAATATAAATATATTAATATTACCTATTTGTAACAGCAGGCTATTAATATTTAATCCTAAATGATAATACAGATGATAACATACCTACTTTAATAGAAAAGTATGGTTAATAGAAAAGTGTATCTTTACACCACATATTGAAGTAAAAATATAGATCTTGTAGACAGAAAATATTAAAAAAAAGAATGACGTACTATTTCACACCAAACGAGCGACATTTCCGGCAATTTCACTGTATCGTTTATTCGCAAAATATAGGTTCCGAGATAAAGTTCGCCGGGAAACTATTTCACGAGCGACAGGTGTTAATTCCGCGTTGATTACTTTTACATCGTAAACCGGCTAAATGTTGTCGATTCGGATTGTTACAGCCTGCGAAATACATGCACCGCAATGGGATCCCATTAACAAACTATTTAAATTCCACAAATTAATTTAGTCCCGCCGCTGAATATGTTAACAGTGATTTCTATATATGTGGAGTATATAGAGATATGAGCTCTTAAATTTCTCTCAAACAAGTCATTTTATCACTGCTAATATCATATCTTTTTATCATTTCATTATTGCTACACTGCACAAATATTGTTACGTTAATAAAAATAATACAGATAACAACAATACTAAGACAAATATATTTTTAGAATTTATAGACATCTCGGAAATGTGAGAAAATTGCTTGGAATGTTTCGTCGCTGACTCGTTTATCACTTTTGAGCGTTTCGCAAAAAATCCACCGGTACTTAGGCATTCGTGCATAGTGCATGATAGTTTCTGTTATGAGATAGCTGGATGCCCATAACACCAAACTTTCTACAAAGGCCCGTTTTTTTCCATGAATATATAACACGACATAAAATATCCCGCATATCCGGTGCGTATCGTGGTAAAAGCCTCGGGATATTTTTACGAAACTACTGCGACTTTCCAATTTCCAACTCTGACGAGAATTGACTAACCAATCTTAATATGCAATATGTTTAAATGATACTTAAAATAAAACTCACAACGCTCTTTTTTTAAATATAATTATGTTAAACGCCTTTTATCCTGCGATTATCTCTAATCCATCTAATAAACACTTAAAGAGGGGGAAATGCTGGATGGAAAAATATAATTATTTTTATAGTAATTGAGTTGTTAATCATGTATTTTAACAATTTAATTCGATACAAACTAAAAATTTACATCGCAAACAATATCTATATTTAAAGAAACAAAGAGCTAAAAAAATATTAATTTTTAATAAAATATAATAAAAACGTCTCATTTATCTTTAAAATGATTCCTTTACAGCACAATTGCAAACGCTAAAGACAACTATATTTTTCGATCTGTCACCCCTAAACCTTAGAGTCAATACTTTCTCTCTAAAGAATTATTTGTTCCAGCGAAACTTCCAACGTTAAAGCAGAGTAAAGTGGAGAATGAGAATCGTATTGAATTAGCGCGCGATCATTATTATTTGTTTCAGTGACGGGGCTAGAGCCAGACTTCGCTTACCCGCTGGAGAACGTAACGATCCCGCAAGGTCGAGACGCTACCTTCACCTGCGTGGTGAACAACCTCGGTGGATACCGGGTGAGTCCTTCCTCCTCCGCGAGCGGAGATCACTCTGGCAACGTCAAGGGTAACGCCCGGGTAACTATTTTACCATTAACCTGTGTCCGCCTGTAATGGACTACTACCTTATCTACTACTACCTACTACTACTAACTCTACTACTGTCACTACTACTACTGCACTACTTATATGCGCGCGTGCCTGCACTTCACAGCACTGCATTTAACTGCACTACCGCCAGCTATGAAAAATGAGAAATATATATATATATATATATATATATATATAGTATATATACTACCACAGTCGCCAGAGCAGTCACCATCACTAACCATCTCTCTGTACGACATCCATTTTCATCTATCAGTCCGTATACAGGCACTGCTCGACGCAGCAACCGAAGTTTCATAGTCTCTTCACGTTCCTCCTGTCTCATTCTCTTCGTTCGCTTTGTCTGAGAAATACCGACAATTCACACCGAAGAGAGAGAAAGAAAGAGAGCGAGAGAGAGAGAGAGAGAGAGAAAGGATTCTTTCATGCGAAATTATTCACTAAATGGTTAATGATGCCTTCACGCGTTGAAAGAATGCGTATCGTTATCCGCGTTATTATAACCAATAATTATATGCGTCTAGTCTTTATTAAACAAGATGCGCCGTAATAACGACTTTCCCGTTTTGTTCGCGTCGTTGGATTATGCATCGCGAATTGCCGCAACTAAAATGGAGCTGAAGTTATCGCGAAATGTACGCTCGCGTTTCATGTTTTAAGATGGCATCTTCTCCCTAATGTTCTAGAGTGATTTGAAACGCAAAGTAGATCAAACGTTTATCGAGATCGGTGTTATCAATATTAACGCGTCGCGTAGTCAAGATGAAATTTATTCGGATCGATCTATCGATCTCCACCTTTGTCCTTTCTCTGAAAAGAATTCGAATCGCGAGAGGATGAATGGATACAAAAAAGCCGATCTATCGTTGCAGCTATTGTTTTTTTTTTTGACAATGGCTTTCGGGCACATTGCCCACTCCTATTTCCATGGAGCCATGCTTTCCAAAAGACCACGTCCAATATTACTGGCGCAAAAATTTCTTCGGTTTCTCCCAGTGAACGTCCGAGATAAGATCACAGGCAGCGTGCATTGATTTTATTAAAATATATACATATATGTTAAAATATTTATTATTAGAATTTATTTCAACGCAGGAAATATTGATGTTTGAGTAGTTCTCTCACAGTTAATTTTCTGTCTACCAACAGTCAGGAAGTTTCAAAAAATTGGAAATTCATTTTCATAAAAATAATAACACACATTAATTTTTTTCAGTTGAATACGTACATAATTATCAATTTTATCAAGTGTCGATAAAATAATTTAATAAAGTTATCGCAGCAAAAACTTGAAATTGGATAACGAAATGTGTCACATTAAGTAATAATAATTATTTAATAAATATGCAAATTTCTGATATATATATATATATACAGATGTTTTAATCTCAATTCAATTTTATATAAAATTTTTAATAACTTTTTCTGACTCGTTATTTTTAAACGGATTGTATGATATTATTTGCACTTTTTTCGGAATAGAGCTGTAGAGAGCTTAGAGCCGCGTGTAATTGCGTAAGTTTCGCTTTACACTTTCCGGTAATAGCGCGATCCCAGCAATGGAAGGAAGATTGATCAAGGCCGGCACACAGTGCCGCTATATGTAGCGAAATTGATTTCACGCGAGAACATATCGCCGATGTGGCGTATTAAGCGCTTTACGGCTCCACTTGTTGAACCGATAACTTCCCGATAGCCGAGGGTTCCCTTCCTCTCATCTCCACGGAGACCTCTCGCCGGGGAAAGAAATTTTGGCGCCGTGCGCGCGACCGTCGTAGGTTTTAATTAAACTTGGCACTGTCAGTTTATAACTTGTTGGAAAATGCGATTACTTCCGGCAATGCGCTCGCCCGCGTTTCAACTTCTTTCTTTTAACACGGTCGGACAATCCTCCACGCGAGAGTTTACGTTCCTTCCTAATAAGGATCATCGCGATAGTTTCATTATTTCTTTTCTTTTCTACATTATTAGACGTACAGAAATCTATGAGCGACAGGGAAATTTTGCTTCGTAGAGATTCGCGATTAATCGTCAATCTTTCACAAATCTTTCACAAATCTCTCACAATTAAAAATATTTCAGAGAATTTAGATTGAAAATAATGATACTCTGATTGTTCATTTCATAAAATAGGTAAAGCTTCTTTTTTCTATATTCTTACTTTATTAGTTGTAATAAATAATTAAAAATTTTTAGGAAATTATTTACAACAGAAAATGTGTTATATTCCTGTATTTCAATTTTATTTTTATATAAAAATGGAAAATTGTTTTTCTATAACATGTGAAATATTTTTTTAAAACTGAAATACCGTCTATTGTCGAAAAAAAAAATAAAATTCTAACCGAAAATTTTCTTATTAAAATGCAAAATGCACATATCGTTGATATTAATATTAAATCATCCTGCTTTGCCATCTTTGAAAATCTGAACAATTTCGATTATCGTAATTTTAACAACGTATTTACCACTTTCGATCATTCACAAATTGAAAAAAACACCAGCAAATACGATAATCGCGTAATTATTGCAAAAGAAACATTTCGCCTGTATACATCGTGCATAATGATAAAATCTGGGAGATATGTTCATGCATAATTTATCATCGTGATCGATCAGCAACCACTCATGTGCCGTTAATTTAATTGATTAATTCGTAGCTCTTGATTTTGATCATTAACAGAATCGCTCCATACGATTATCAGCCACATAAAGCAATAAATAAATATCTATACTACAAATATCATATTTTCATTATCAGACTGATCTTTATTTACATTTGAAGTTAACGTGTGTATTAATAAAAAAGTTTCGTTTCCTCTTATTCCTATAACTTTTTCTTGCAAGATAAAAAAGCTCTAGAAGACGATTAGCGGATTCTTTGTCGAATTGAGTTTCACTCCTCGTCTTGAATAGAAACTGGCAAACTGGAACGATAACGTTCAAATTAACATCAAACGCGCAATGAGTGCACTGCTTACAACTTGTATGCCCTATGCTCTAAGTGAATTTTGCGGATCGATCAGTGCGAGCCCGAGCCTACAGCGAAGATGTTGAGGCCTAGTATCCGGCTTTTCCGCTTGTTAGATTTAAGCTTCGATGCTTAATCGCACCCGCTGGGAAACCGAGGTAGTTCGGCGATTGGCCCTAGGCAACAGCATCTGCCTTTGCTTTAAACGACGATTAACGAACGCAACAGTGCATCATATATCGCAAAAAATAGCTGAAATATTTGTACACAACAATCTTGTATAACTTACATACTCAGATTTTGTTATATATTAATTGTTATGTCTTTGATTACAGTGATTTTGTTATAATAGCGATTTTTGAAGGTATATAATTTTATGATAATCTTAGCTTACTTGTTTTAATACGCAATACTTTATAATTTATATAAAAAAAAAAGAGTAGATTCTGTTGCCTCGTTGGATAAAAGCATATTTGGAAAATGTGAAGACGAGAAATTTCGGATATTTCAAAACAGGAATGATGGGCATGAAACAATGACAGATAAAATCAATCAATAATTATAAGCGTTAGGCGTAATTACTTCCAGCTTCGAGCACATTCGTGCCAAACAAACACAATATAATTTTCATTCAAACATCTTCAAACTCTCATTTCAGAATATATCTCGATTCTTTATCCGACGTAACGACTCTTTCTCATTTCGAGCAAATTACAATTACTTATATTCGTCATTGCATCAATTTCCCAAAATCGACATCACGATAAACGTTCCGTGCCTTGTCCCTCCGATACGAAAACATTCAGGTCCACATTGGCTTGTCCACGAATGCACAATTTCTATTTGCACATGTGTCTGTTTACAATGCATAAAACGCACTTGAGATTTGAATGTTCGTGCGAAATGAAATATGGTGCAAGCTGCATTGGAGAAGGATTGAGATGCACATTGTTCGGACGTGTTATGCGCCCTGAGTAATTGCCGAATCCGAGGAACGAGACGTGCTGGATACGTATTGTTCTTAGCGTGTCACTGAATTCCTGTCTATATGCGAGAGGCATGCCAATGATGCATGAATATATAATAACGGAGAGTATACGAGGTTGCATGAGCATGTTTTTAACAGTAATCTATAGAGAGATAAAGGAGATATGTAACTTAATATTATAGAGTTTAGATCGATGATGATAGGGGTTTTAGCAACAGCAATCAATTTTAGCGATTCAGTTAGAGATTAATGAATATCTTTCTCTTTTCGTATGAGTTTCGATTGTATCAAGGTTATGCATAAATGTCTTCTATATATCATAGGACGTGTTGTCAAATTAATAAAGTTAAGAGTAGGAAAAATAAATCGAGAATAACAAGCGTAACCAAAGATTTAGAAATTATATTTACACAAATAAATTTTGTAAACGTTCTCGTCGGATATTTAATGTTAAACGTGCGATTTTCTTCTTCGTTCATTTACATCGATTGCGTTACTCCCGAGGCGAGTAATCTCAAGCCGGATCCAGATCAAGTAGACGAGGTGCAAACAAACGCAAATGAACAGTGTTCTCACTTTAACGAGAGCAGCATCGCCAACACTTATCGAAGCGAGTAGTCTATTCGCGCTTGTTCGCGCTTGTTTGCTTCATCTGGGTCCAGCTTACAACGTATTTGATGCGCTCTTACACAAAATGCGAACAAGACCAACGCTTTTATTCATATCACCCGGTACGTTCGTGGAGCGTACGCTGGAACGAGTAATCTCGTCCGAAACGTGCGTGTCACGTGGATCGGTTAATCGTTTGAATTCCGCGCACGCGGCTACGCGGATGAGTGCGTTTCGTTGTACCGTTGAGCGTGCCGTACCGTGCTATGCCGTGCCATGCCGTACCATGCCGCGCCGCGACGCTCGGCGTCGCTTGTGCTCTGCCATAAAATCTAACATTTAACCCGCCGTTATCGTGTTCTTGGACACTGCGCTCAAATTTCCCGCACATCCACGATGAACAACAATGTACGTACAATAAACAATTACGTTGTAATATTTATAAATATACAGAACACGCTCTCAAATTATGACCGCCATGATAATACTTAACCATGAATTTCAGAGTGATTTAATTTAGAAAAATTTTATTGGATAATTTTTCTATTTATTTTCTTTTTTATTTTTAATTGTTAAATATTGTGCAGAAATAAAATAAATTGTAAAAATAGATCTAACATTGCAGTGTTCGTATATAAGGTTAACATTCTCGAATCAATACTTTCTTTAAGGCGCTACCAATTGTTTATTTAAAAATTTAACGTTAAATTTGAATAATATATACATATTGCTAGAGATACATATTCTTAAAGTTCCAAGTACAAAGAAGAAGTTTTTTATTGTTAAATTACCTCAGAGATATTTTCCTTTTCACGGACTGAAGGTACTAATCTTAAATGTAATGATAGAGAAAAAGTTATCGAAGAACGAGAACGGGTAAGAAAGGGTGCGAAAAAAAAATATCATACATACAAAAATAATTAATAACAAAATAATACTCTAGTATTTCGATCCTCAACAGCAAAGTCACGATATTGAAGAAGATGTAGAAAGCAAGGAGATAACTCCAACCGAGTTGTTCAACAGTGAGCATCGGGATGGAAGGCAAGAAGGAGGGGAGCCACGAAACTTTTAATTAGCAAATTTATCCATTTATATATACTATACGCCGCTAAAAAAAGGGAGCAATCGTACTTTGTCGGTCGAAAGTCAAGAAAATAAGAACTCAAGAACGAGTTGCGCTATATAAGTGGGTGACGACGTTGGAAAGCTACGAATAAACGCGAAAGATGAGAAAGGATGAGGAGTTAGGTGAGCCATGGTGAGGGGTTTTGAAGAGGCGCGGAGGAGATGGCGGGAAATAAACGAGGTGTGGTAGACTGGACCGAGGCTCCCGATCCCACAATGCGCCACAATGGAGCGCCGACGATGGTTTTGCATATGAAAGAGGACCGAGAATGGAGGGAACGTGAAGCCAAAGGCCGGGGGAAAGGGTAGTAGGTGTACGTAACGCGATATTATATCGGACTAGGAAGGTTAACCCACCCCCTCGCCGTCGCTCTCTCATCCCCGAATCTCTCTTTACGTCTATCTATCCGTCTGTTCCGTTACCATCGTGGGTTCCTTCGCGATTTCCGCTCCTTAAAGATCCACGAAGATCGGAGGCCTGGAGAAGGAAGAGGGAGGAAAATCGTAAGCCGACAGTACCTACTCTGGGAGGAAACTGCATTAGATAAAGAGGACGTTTTTGCATTAAGATAAAGGCTCGTTTCCATACAAGGCACGACGTGCCCTTTAAGATCTCGGTCGTCCTCCCCCATCTTCTTCCCTACTTTAAATCCTTTGCTTCCTTCATTGTGCTGCAAATTCGTGACCCACTCTTGTTCGAAAAGACATGTGCACGATGCTGCGTGTCCTAAAGAGGGAAAGGGAAAAATGACGGTTTTCGTTTGGGTGTACAGAATTTTTCTTTTTGGGGGCGCAGCAGGATCGCGAGATCGCTCGGTTTTCGAGTTTCAACTTTCGGATACGAAGCGACGTATTGTGCCCGCCTTCGAGTTGCCGCCACATACTATCCGATTCGCGTTGCTATGGATACGTTCTTTCACTTCTGAAAGTGATTTTCATATCGCATATTCATGAAAAATCTGTTACAGAGTTTTGCGAAGAGCTTCACGAAGAAATTATTTGCTGATCATCTTTATTTGACAATTACTGAAAGATAATTTCTTTTCAGTTTCATATCGTTATACTGATATTTCTAAATAACCTAAATATTTCTAGATAATATATTTAATGTCTATGAGAGAGGGGGAGGGGGGAAGAGGAGGCGGCTCCCGTAGACATTAAATATAATATAAACATCGTAAATTTTATAAGTTATAAGTCATAAATTTCATTTTTTATCCCCTATGTTTTATTCATTTCTAAAGCGTATTTTTGACATTTTAATTTCGAAAAGCTTAAAATACACGTACATTGTTCCCCACACAAGAATGTTTTCAGCTTTTCTCTTTTTTCCTTCCTTCTTCCATTTCAGCCCACAACAATTAATCATCAGGAAAATGAATTGACGGCAATATGACATAAATGTTTGAGAGTCGCAAGCATCTGTCGGTCGCGGCGACTTTTTCGTTCCCCCCTTTGGGATGCGAGAGGAGCTTTACCACCTCTCATCCCCTCGGAACGTCGCAAGGCGCACCGAAAGGGAGAATGGGGTCGTGCTTATACTCCGGCATAATATATTATAAGTGGAGGCACTCACAAGGCCGTCACTACCAAACACTCGCACCCTCTCGCATCCCAACCGCCCCCGTAGTCATCCTCTCTTCGCCCTCCGCGTCCGCTCTCCATACACTCCGTTCGCGGGTTATCGATAAGAACCGCGGAACTCCTTTGTCGGTTGATAGATAGCCTTTCAGAGCGATGCGAGGTCAGATATTCGACATGGTACAGGTTCAATTTCATGCCAATAATATCTGCGCAGAGGGAGGCGAATAAGGCAGAGAGCAGGAGATGGGAGGAGGATGAATATTCGTGATACGCCACACTGCAGTTTCCTCTTTCAGGATAGCTTCGGCCAGAATGTGAAGCAAAATGACGATTAATATGTGTTAACCAGACACGATTGCATTTTCACGCCCCTTTCTTCGCCCGATCTCTCTTCCCTCCCCCTCCCCTCCTTTTTTTTCATTGATCTTAATCCGTAAAAAATGGGTTTAATTAATGGCGTATATCAGCGGCTTGGAGCGAACTGCAATAACCGGTGAGAGTTCAATTTAGCGTTGATGATACGAAGGATCGCGAGCGAAAGCGCGGTAACCCACATTCGGAACAGTCACGATAGTTACTTCAGAAGTAATATAACTTGCAGAACATTCACGAGAGCGTGAAGAACTTGTAATAAATTATACCAATATGGCAAGATCACAGGCGAAATATGTGTGTTTGGTCGACATTTATTTCTATCCTATTTACTATTTTTATATTCAATATAAAGCTCACTCGAGTTTTTGATGTAAACATAATGTTACATCCTGTGAGAGTAAAACACCTGAACTTTGCTACTAAACCGTTATCTCTCGTGGCTACCTTTCTTTATTTTTCTGAGAAGTTACATTCTATGGGTTATCGTGCTCTTGCTCGCGGAATTCTTCATATTTACACAGTGGCAGACCGTCGCGGCGCGCAACGGTACAGTTTTCCAGTCGAGGGATGTGGCGGAGAAACCGTAGCACAGACTTCGCCATAAAGAGAAGATTCCTCCGTAGAATATACCGGCTTTTGATGCCTGCCTTCGAGGCGATATATACGAATATTTCATTCATTCGCGAATAGAAAGCGTCCCGTGTTTATATCTCTCTTTCTGCACAAAGTCTCGCAGACGTTATCGTAATCGAGTTCATATTTGAATCGCGACAGAAAGCTTATGATTGTACTGCCGAATATTTCAAGAGTAACTGACGTAGAGGGAAAACCGGGAAAAGCGATAGGAAAGTGCTTTAGGTTAGTAGGAAGTTGGATTCTTCTTCAACATCAGTGGACGGAGTAACTCTAGAACTTTACTTAGTAATTAACTCTTTCGGTATTTATATTCGGCATATTAAGGCACATTAAACGTTCCTTGTGCTCGTTTTTACATTAACCTTTTAGGGGCAACTGAGTGGTGTAAATTTGCAATGTTCATTTTGAAATTAAATTCCAGATAAATTCGATATAAATTCGTCGTAAATTCGAAATCTGTGAAATAAGTTATAATATATTTAAGAACTAAAAATGAAAATGTATGTATTATAGAACATTGAAATATAATACTTCCGCTTGCCAAAGAGATTATACATTGATATCAATAGATTCTTCACTTATAAGAATTAGAATTAGTCAGTTTTTTAGCAACAGCAGTAAAAGAGTTTGTCTTTTAATGACAAGAGATGCCGTCCCTAAAGGATTAAAAACTTTTATTTTAATTACATCGAAATAAAAAGAAATACTTTTCGAAATTTTATTCCAATTCTATTTCTAATATCTGATAGATACCGAAAGAATTGATTAAAGTATAGATTGTGGAAGCTAAAAATGGGACTTAACAACACACGAAATATCTCTCGAGGTAGATTCGGTTTCCGGTTAGATCCGCGACAACAAGAAATAGCTAATTAATGAGTTACGCACGGCGATAAGATTAGGTAGGCTTTGGGAAGACGGGGAAACGGTTCCGAATCGGTCTCTAAGAAATGGGTTTGTGAGGCCAGGTGGCGTGGATTAAAGCGGACACCAAGGCGATCCTAGCGATTCATGAGCACGTGATCACGAACAACGCCCGTCTGTCGGTGACCCACAGCGACTACAACACGTGGACGTTGAACATTCGCAGTGCACGCCGGGAAGATCGCGGAATTTATATGTGCCAGGTCAACACGGATCCCATGAAGAGCCAGGTACGCATTTCTCTACATATAAAATGTGACTTTTACAAAAAAATAACTTATTTCTCGCGAAGAATAATTCCACATGCGCGCACGCACATCTTTTTTAAAAATTATATTACAAGTGCACATAGATATGTAATAATTAATGATTATCACGGAATTATCGAGCGAATAGAGTGTTTCTGTAACGCGAAAATTACTTCAAGTTCACTGATTTATAATTGCGACTTCAGACTCGGAGTTCTCCGCTTTAATCCGGTTGGTGGTTTCGTTGTATATTTCGTAGCACTCCATATTCTCTCTTCGCTCTACACACGCATATACACACGCAGATACGCTATAATTTATCTCCTCCGCATTCGCAGAGCGCGTTTTTGGAGGTGGTAATACCGCCAGACATCATCTCAGAGGAAACCTCGAACGACATGATGGTTCCCGAGGGAGGTGCCGCGAAGCTGGTGTGCAAAGCGCGCGGTTATCCCAAGCCTGACATCGTGTGGAAGCGAGAAGACGGTGCCGAAATCATTTCGCGTTCCGGTCCTGGCAAGACAAAAAGTAAGGGTTCCAAGTATTATTTCGCGCCAGTCAATCGCTTACTTCTCCTTTGGGAGCAATATGGTGACGTACTGCGATACCAAAAGCTTTCTTCGGTTGCGAATTTGTCGGCGCAATTAAAACTGTTCCCAGAATAATTTACGAGCGAAGATCGGAATTTAATTGCAATTAGATCGCTAGGTACATCCGGTACATATAAATAAATTAATTATGTTTCTTTGATAATCTAATTTTAAATTCCAGAATTGTAGTTGATAATTCTGAGAAAACGTTGAGATATGTATTATTAGCTGACTAATATATCTTCATTTACAAAATTAACTATTCAACGCTATAGTTAATCCTTTATGAATTAGTGATCCCATTTGGAATCATCCTCTTTTATTTTATAAACTGCTCGCTTGATTTGTGTGAAACTTAACCATTGGAGTAATTTGATAACACTTCGTTCAAATCTGAGGTCAAAAATAAAAAATTCAAAGTAATAGATTCAAGAGATATAACGTGAATTTTGAAACATAATTTGATTATTATAAAAGTTTTAGGGAATTTTTAATTGCAAAGTAACATCAAGTTTCTAGTTTCGCTTTGTTTGGAACTCATCAGTGTTGCGCAAACAGTTAGTATTGATTTCTAAACTGACTTTCGAACTCTAATTTTGAGCATTGTAACACTGGATAGATCTTTCTTCATTAAAGCTATTATCCTTTTGAAATTCGATGTTCTTAGATTACATTTGAACTCAGTGATACCAAGAACCTTCGAAAACAGAGTTTCATGATAATCAGATGGTTTCTTTGAAATCTTATGTAATTTTAGAATTTTGGGATCAGAATCGAATTCATTGACCCCGAATGAGCTTCTATAAGTTATTTTGTTAGAGAACTCCAGTTCCCAAAAAGTTAAATAATAATTATAATAGATCAAAAATAGATTTAATATAACGATAACGGCGAATTTCGACATAGACATTTACGTGTCTATACTAGTTTAATCTGTTAAGTCGATCGGGTATTAATGTTGCACACTTTGATTACATGTAACGAGCTAACTTCTGAGACCGCCCCTCGTGTTTGCATATTGCAGTACCCAGTGCAGAGGGCGAAGTGCTGACTTTGTCGAAAGTAACGAGAGGCGAGATGGGCGCCTACCTGTGCATCGCCAGCAATGGAGTGCCTCCGTCAGTCAGCAAACGAATGATGCTGCACGTGCATTGTAAGTACATACTGTTTTATTTGAATATCTTCGCCACAAAAGACATTTTTGTAATCACGAATATAATATATGTTCCGATATTTGTTTTACCAATATTTTTGCGATATACGTTTTAAAATATATATCATTTAATATCAATTTATATTATCACATTCAAACTAATATTTACACACATTATTGTACTTTTATCTCTATTAAGTAGATCTCTTGACCAATTTGAAGTCAATTTGTCGTGGAAATATTTACACAAAATTTCTTATATAATTGTCTCATTGTGAGTAAAAGACGAATAATGTCGAAGCAAGACTTGCTAAAACTTTCAATTGTTTAATGCTGTTAAGTGAGAAATAACAGAAAGACGAAATGCAATTTCTCTGCATAATCTAACAAAAAGAATACATAATTTATAAAATAAACATTGCGGACGCTTCGTTGCAAACTGTAGAGCAAGCTGCATAAAAATCTTTCGCGCGATTCGTACGGATTAAAATTTATAAATCCGTTTCTTTGTCCAACAAGTCACATATATTCACATATATATTTGGAATATCATGGAATATAGCTTTTCACTAATCTTTAATTAATAATCATAATTTGCATAAATGGCTAGCATTATCTTACAGAATATTCTATTCATTAAAACGATCAAATATACATAAACATATGTGAATATAAAATAAAATATGTTGAATATTTAAGAGAAAATTATTTCTTACAATAACAGTTTTACGGAATATTTTAACTTTATTTTTATTTCTATCTTAAATTCAATTTCTACGTTCATATATTTGTACGAGTACAAATTAAACTCTATGTAATATTCTAAGTTAATAAAATGATAAAATAAATTAAATATAAAATAAATAATATTTAAATTAAATTATTTATAAGAGACGAAATTTGCCTCGAAATTTTTTTGAGTCAGGATAATGAAAATTCTAAAATTTGATTCGTGATTTGCTGATACTAGCACTAATCGCACTTTGATCGTCACACATTCATAGGAAGAAAGTAGGACAAGCGTGTTCACGAGGAAATGCGACAAAATTCGTTTTTTTACCGCTCGTATAACCTCACGACACCAGGGCGTTTCCTTGAGCAATCGTCCAGAAGGTGTAAAGTCCGCGAACTACCAGCAGTAGCCTTATCCACGCGAGACACACTTCTCGGTGTAAAACGAAAGAGGCGTCTCAGAGGGAATACAAGGCGCCGCAGCAACGACGAAGAAAAGCGTCGCTTGTACGACGAGATAGCCATCGTCGCCTTTCCTTGCATAATTTTACCGTAGCAAAGACGGGAGTGAGACCGAGGAGAAACCTCTTCTCCGTAAAAGCCGGAGACGGAGAATGACGAAGACCGCGGCTAGGAATGGAAAAGGAAAGGGAGAAAAAGACCGAAGGTAAAATACTGCTTAAATAACAGGCGCGTAATGCGCCTAGCGACAAGGGTGAAGGAGAGATTTCACAGGGTGAGATGGGGTGTCGGAAAGGAGCACGAGATAATAAAATTACACTCGGGACGACGGTACAACGCACCCACGTTCATACCCTCCCCCTCCCCCCTCCCTCACCTCTTTCGAAGGTTTAGCGAGAAGACGATGTGCGCAATAAGATTCCGTTCAAATTGCGCGGAGATGAGGATAGATGAAGGCGCGCGCAGAAGTGTACTAAATGTCGAAGAAATGTCGTAAATTCAATATAGATTTTATTATTGAATTGATTATTTATTTCTCATAATATAAAAGATAAAGACAGTTTTTTCGATGAATCGAAGCAATCGAGCTATAATATTTCAAAGAGTGAAATAAAACGAAATAAAAGTGTTTCATGCAGCTTGTAACAAAACAAAATTTAAGTTCCAAAGGACACTTTATCGTGACAAAAACACTAATACGACAATAAGAAGTATATATAATTATATATATATATATATAAAACTAGGACAACCATTTGTTGCAATTTGGTGAAACCGCAACGGTCATTAAGGGAAATAAAAAAAGAGAATAAAAATCAGGCAAATAAGATGGGGATACTTTACACGGAGAAATCCGATAATTACAAGAAAAATTCCCATACATCAAGAGATTGTACACTCGTTAAAAAAGTGTAATAGTAAAAGAGAAATGAGAAGGAAGTTGTAGTTTCATCGTGGGAGAAGCGTGGTGTGACGATAGCAAGTTAAGCCGCGGTTACGACCGTGTCTTAGAATCTGGTGGAGGAGAGGTAATTCCTCGGCGGAAATTGGACGTACCTATGTACGTAGTTACGTTCTACTGCGGTGCACGATCTCGCACCTGGCCTCGGGCACGATGATAAGATCGTGCGATAATCGAGTTTCATTGAAATACGCTATAGACGAAACCGTGTCCGCGAAATTCGCGCGACCAGCGTGGGATATTGTGGATAGCAATGCGCGGGCTCTCGGTTGATTCGGAAATGCGGAACTGTTCGTGGCAGACGGCCGATTGCTTTAAACGATCGCGTGATGCGAGTACAAAGTGCTGAACTTCCTTTGAAAACGCGGAAGAACATTTGAAATTGTTGGCAAACGCCGTTCGCGTGCAATTACGCGATTGCTACTTTGTCGTCGACATACGTGCTAATTGTGAAGCTTGCTATATTAATCTAGATAGTGCTTCATGTTACTTCATATAATAATAATACTAATAATATTACTCATTCGCTACGATGTAACCCAAAAAGTGTCATTTTTTAGTCGATTAAAGAAAAAAAATGAAAGTATAAAGAAAAAAATATAATTTTATTCCCTCTATAATTAATTATTATACCGAAACTGTGCACTTTAAGATTATGCCAAAATTGTAATCATTCAAAACATTCAAATTTATTTTTTGAAAGTCTTTGTTTTCTGAATAGTGTGGTTATTGTAGCAAATGAACGATATTTCTCATATAAACGGTTTTATGTATTAAGCGTTTTATAATTAAGATAAAGTTTTCGATAAAGTTTTGTGCTATAAAATAATATTACAAGAATCGATAGTTTATACAGATATATTGAATTTGATGAGCCCATAAATCTTATTGCTGCAGCCACCATTTAACATCAGAAAAGACATTGGTAATCGTAAATAGTTAGTACAATGCTTCCAGACTTTCCTAAATAAAATTGTACTCGCGACTCACGTTCGCTCATCATTGGCATCCACGCGACGACAGAATGAAAGTTCCTTCTTAGTTAAGGACTCGAAAAAGAGAGACCGAGCCCTGATCTAATCATCGTAAGATGTGACAAGCTGAACTTTACTCAGAAACTTTAAACACCCCGCCGTCCGCTCCGGTTTTAACTTAGTCTCAACGTTTTAACTTCTCCGTTACATCTCTCGCGACTTCCTTCCTCCCCCGTTTGCGACTTTTCCACGGAACTCGGACGCGTAATTACGCGTTAGATAAATATGGTTGTACACGAAGGGACAGAAGAAGGACTATTTGAAAAGCAACGCGACGAGCTGCATCGCAATGCGAGAAGTACACGGAACACCGCCGAGTCTCGACACGATCTTAACACTGCTTCTTAACAAAGAACTATTACACCGGAGTAGTATATGTGGTGCGAGCATCATAGAAAAGAATCGAGTGTTATCTTATCACCACAGGACTATCGAACGTTGGGTCTGTGCACCCAAACGAGAGAAAATCTTGACTTTTATGGATCGTAAGTTTCCCATACACGAAGTGTGTGTGTGTGTGTGTGTGTGTGTGTGTGTGTGTGTGGGTGGGAGAGAGAGAGAGAGAGAGAGAGACGTTTAAGAAACAAAGTTTAAGTTACTACTCAACCTGGAAATACAGTATAATAGTCTTCCTCACGTTTGTAAGTTAACTTTCCATGCTATGCTATTGGTTCTTTTAAAAAGAATTAATATTAATAAAATAAAAAAAAATTAATATCATCACGATTATCTCGAAATTACATGTGTCGATCTGCGTTACAATCAATAAGACGTCGTTCATTCAAATTGCGAGAGATTTAACTTGGGTGATTTTGTTACTTACTATCCGCAATTACTCATCTGCTTACTGTAATTAATCGTTCGTTTAAGTCAGTTGCGCTCGATTTCTCTTTGCGTACTGGAAGGTAAACTCCTCTAAGTAATTTTTATAATTTGTTAAAATATTGGATTGTAAGAAAAATACGATGCAGAAGTGAATGAAAAATTAAAAAGTGTTACTATACAATCCAACTTTTTTTTTGCCGCATTAAACGTTTATATTTTCTTTACTCCTGTTTAAACAATAATAGATTTTATCTCACAAACTTGAAAGCAAACTCAGAAAATTTTTTACAATGGATATTGAGTCCAACTTAATTATTGCAGGAATCGATACGGCAATTTATCTAGAGGGCATTTGACGCGATATTGAGAATTGCGCGCTGCATTAAATTATTACACCGCATTAAGTTGTTACACTGCATTAGATTAGACTATGAACGCGACGAATGCAATTTCGCGCCACAGGTCGCATTAAGCGCCTCGAGGTACACTCGCTGCGCTTAATTAACGGAGGCGGCGAAAGAAATTAGCCTGTGCCGCTTATTTATTTGCAAGCTCGCGATTGTGCTTCACGACCGACTTCCTATTTCAGTTCTCTTCGGTTCAGATCGATCGACTGTCCATTTTGCAGCGCAGGTATCGCATCCGCGAACTTATTTGATTGATGTTCGACAAGCTTATTTTGGCGTCGCTATATTTATCGGCCATACCGCATCGTGAACTTGCACACGTTACCGCATAACATCCAGTTATGCGGTTACTGCATAAACTTGATATAAGATGCCCCATATTCTCGAAAATATTCTTTGCTAGAAATACTCCGCAGTCTGTTGACATAAATTTATTATATCAACCAAAAATTTTAAAAGCATAAATAGATAAAAAAGGAGACTTTTTTTCAATAAAATTAATTTTCTTTAACAATTTAATTTAGCGTTCTAAAATCAAAATTAAAAAAAAATTTGTTTATTTATTAAAATTTTTTAAAGAAATATTTGATTAAAGTTCAGTAAACATGGCAATAGTATTCGAGTAGCTGTTTAAAATTTTCAATAAAAAACACTATCACAAAAAATTGTATCAATACATGTTTATATACGATAAGCGATTCAATACGATTTTATCGCTATTGGTCAAACGACCAGTTTATCAATAATTTCACAGTGAAATACTCCGCGACGATTTGTATTCCGCGCAATTGCTTACCGGCGAAATGTCCGACGTTAAAATGTCGCAACGTATTTACGTTTCGCCGAATTCGAATCGTGGGCTCGTTCACAATTAAGAGTAATGTCGAGCGATCTCGCTGTTTGTTATCCGAGCAAACGCGTCACCTATCGTCACGTACCGAGCTAAATGTTACACGAAGAATTCCCAGAGCGAGTATTCATCACTATCATACCGTACGTGCGTGAAATCAGTGCCATGAGTTTTTGGACGTGCGCGGATCGAAAGTTTGCACGTAAATCCATCGGAAAATCATGTAACGGATTTGCGGGACACGCTTGGCAAATCGGAGCAATTAAAACTCTCTCTTCCCCTATCTCTTTCTCTCTCTCTTCTGGTATGGCCAGAAGGGATTCATAAATCAATTCTCGCGATACAACGCGCGGTTATGCTTAGGGGAGAAACCGTGATTCAATTCGGCGCATAATTGTTCGCCCGGAATTGCCGAGAGTCCGCGCGTTCGAATTAACACGCGCCGAAGTGCCTCGTTGTATCGTGTGTTTCGTTTTGATAATTCGTCCCGCACTTTCTGGCTCGTTCATGTTTTACGGCATAACCGATAATGTGCGTCACAATTACCAATTATTCGTAATCACTGCGCAATTATTATTATCGCGATCGTATTCGGATTTGCGTTTGACAAAAGCGTTCTCCAATTAATTCGCACGAATTTGATGAATAATTAAAATATCAAAGTTTAACTCCTTGAAGGATTTATCTGTCCGTTATAGATCGGTTCAATATTATATTTGAGAATACTAGAAAACCGTTATCTTACTTCAAAAGAGATACGATCCAAAAAAATTAAGTTTTTTAATCAGAAAAGAAAAAAAAACTATTTTTCAACTTAAGAAAATTATTGACTACTATAATAATTTCGGCAAAAGAATATATTCTTAGAAACATGATCAAATGTCAGTTTTGTCATTATCGTTTTACAACCCTTAAAAAAAACCACCCTTTTTGAATTGTGACAATTTTGATATTCTACAAAAGTATAACAAATTCGGAATATTCATCAAAAATGACATAACTCGAAATATCACCGATAGTTTATATCAGCTAAAATAACTAAATTTAAAATAAAACAAGAAGATTCTTCTTTTATTTATAGAAATGACGCAATTTCAAATAGTGTAATTTAAAATCTTGTAAAAAATATAATCTCTTTAAAACCTTAAGAAACTTTAAGAACAACGAAAACCTTAAGAAACTTTAAGAATGACACAAGTACCATTGAGGAACTTTGAAAAAGAAACGCTTAAAATCACGTTATTGTAAAAGTAGCATCTTGTAGAAAAGAGTTAATGTGTAAAATAGAATTCTTTTTCTTCGGTTACGATGTCAAATTTATTCGATTTTTATTCCAGGACGTCGATATGTCTGACTTACGGACCTTATGGTTATCCTACCCGCAAACACTTTGTGTATTCCCCTTTCTCATATAAAAGTGTCGTTTCGGTGCTGCTGGGATCTTTGGTGTGCACAAGCGCGGCTCGAGCACATATATTTCCCAAGCGGCGCTCGAGATAAAGAGTCGACCAAAGATCCGCCGAGGAAACGGCCAGTTTATCTCGTGCCATCATCTTAATTTTCTGTTACAACGTACATAATATTGTCACCCAACATTCTGCCCATCGATATCACTGACGTAATCTTTATTAGGAATATGGACTATCTTAGAAAGTGTTATCTTTTAACGATGTCAATACAGAATCGTTAGAGACTGTAATAGCAAACCTCATCATGAATACAGATAGTCTATCTATATTCCGTATTTGTATGCAAATGAATATTTTATATATATAGCGATTTAAAAATATATTTTCATGTAAAACACAAAGTCGTGATAAGATCAAAATAACATCAAGTAAAAGTTATTTTAGAGAAAAGCATGATGGTGATACACTTTTGATGATCTTATGATGAATTCATGACAATGATTTTTACGTGATCTTTTGGATAAAAAATTAATTATTTAAAAATCATCATGTCAAAATTATTATCAAATGTACCGACATCATGATTTCTGAAAACTTCTTTATACTTGATTTTATTATGACTTTTTTTCTATTTGGATTTCTATAAAATATTATATGTATAAAGATATATATTAAAGCGACAATTTAATAATAGCTTTAATCATCGTGATTTAAAATAAACTTCTTAAGTACATAAAACAGATAAAGTTATTTCATCAATTTTTTGCATAAATTTATTACAACAATCTAAATTTACTATTAACTTCCAAAGTGCAAATAATAACACTCAATCTAACACATCTTATTCATCAGTATTAAAAAATTATACTTTTTTTATTTTGTTTGGTATTATGACGTAATTAGCAATTGCGTTAACTTTATTAATAGCGACAATGATTATGCCACGAAATACGACATGCAGAGTTTTTGCTAAAGTATGTCAGAAGAGACGTAAGTGAATTCAATGAGCTACAGGGTAGCTTGTTTTCCTGAAGATAGAATTTCAAGTCGGTGGGGTTAAGTAGCCGCTGTAAAACGCACTGTAAGCGCTTTGTGACGACACGACGTTTGGCCGAGCTTCGGCTGAAAGAAGAAGTGCTCGGCGCGGTCGCCTGTTAAAACGTAAGCAGCTCATGGAAAGCTGCTTACGATACTCGAAATGAAAGGCAGTCATAGCGACGCTGCCATGAAGCAGAAAGAGAGAGAGAGAGAGGGAGGGGGAGGAAGAGGAGGGGCAGAGGTAGTGAAAGGGAGAGATAGAAAATGCATCCTTTCTGCTCGCTCGCTAAATGACAATCTGTCAGCGTGTTTCATTAGCGTGAGATGCTCACGTAGCTAGCTAATGACGCACTCGCACAAAGGGACCACAATGTAACTGTGAAGTAAGGCGATTGAATTGTGCAAGTGGTACAATGCACCACTGCTGTTTCCCCATTCCGAGATCTTCATTTTGAAACAAATCAGAAAAATATTCTTTGTGGCGTCATGGTCGATGACGTTCAATTAGACAAATTAGTTCGCGGGAAACCGCGCACGCATCGGATGCATCGCCGCTGTTGTGCTGTCGTTAGTCTGAATCGCAACTGATCGAATCATTATGGTTTACAGTTCATCCGATGGTCCAGGTACCGAACCAGCTGGTCGGAGCTCCGATCGGAACTAACGTCACGTTGGTCTGCCATGTGGAAGCGTCACCTAAGGCCATTAATTATTGGACCCGAGAAACTGGTAATAGAACAGTACAATCAGCATAGTTCTTGTCGTTCAATTTACTTGAAAGATAAATGACTTATCAGTTGTGATTTTGAATTGTTCTAAAAGATATTTTTTAATTGAGAGCATTCACACATTCTGTACAGAGACAGAAAATATTTTTCGTTATCTATAATCAGAAATTATTTTGATAGAAAGAATTATTTTAATAGAAATACTTTATCCAAAATATGAAACCTTATACATTTCTTATTAATTTAGTTTCTAAAATGTATTTCTACAGACGAAATGATAATCACTAACAGCAAGTACGCGATGTCCGAGGTGAAAACGTCAGTGTACAGCGTGCAGATGCGACTGGTTATCATGAACCTGCAAAAGCACGATCTGGGTGGCTACAAGTGCATCTCAAAAAACTCCATTGGCGACGCTGAGGGGAACATCCGACTTTACGGTGAGTTTCCGCGGTTAACGCGTCGACAAGGGCGAAAACAGGTCGTAAAGTCTCTCTCTACGCGAGTTGGAGCTTCCGGAAAGTCTCGGGAAACTTCGTCAGACACAAACGACGTCGTACCGTCATAAATTCTCTTACAGAGTTAATGCATTTATTATATATTTTTTGAAAAAATTAGTAGTCCGAAGACTCCTTAAATATAAGTAGGAAGGACATGCTAAATTCTGTTACTAAGATAGTTGGAATATTTATCAACCAGAAGACGGGAGTCTATTTTTTAAATCTTGCAGCTTTACTTTAAGTTAAATTTGTTATAATTTATTATTTCATTGTGCATTCTTTGTCTTAAAATATGGCTGTTTCAACGCCATTATAGTAATTTTTCTATCTTATAAAGATTAAAGTATTCTTAAAAAAATAAAGAATATTGGAAAAGAAGCTAACCCAATAACATTAAAAGGATACAATATCGGAAATTCTATTTACGAAACGTAATTTTTCGAAAGTAGATTGAACTGTACGCGCAATATGTTCATTTTAAAATATCACTTTTGAAAGTGAAAGCGAAAGCTTTTCTACGGAAAGCACTGAAACAGCTCTAGATCAGAGACATGTATTTGATTGCGGAGGACAGTTGTAGTTGCACGTGCTCCAAGACGGCGAGAAAATACAGCGTATCACTGCGACATCGCCGTTTCCATTACATGCACGATTTAATACGTCGCAATCTCGCAGGAACGATCGACGGCAACGAGCTTCTCGTGTATTACGCAATACGATGGTATATTTCTTGTCGCCCGTAACGATACGTCACTGTAAAAATAGCGAACAATTAACTTTACGTGTAGAATTAAAAAACACACGTCTGTTTGTGCCGGCGCTATTTTCATTCATTCGTCGCGAATATTGAACGGTTAAGTGCAATGAACAATGTAAATCACTCGTTCATAGAAGATGTAAAATGCTTTATGACTTGAAAGCTCAAGATTTTATTCTTTTCGTTTTTTTTATTATTTCTTCTTCGTACATGACTTGGCGTGTATTGTATAACAAAGAGTGGAAGATAGTAATAAAATTAAGCTAAAATGGAAATCTCTGGACAGAAATATTTTACATGCACTTGTATAATATTTCTGACATTAACTCTCGTCGTTTTGGTAATCTCAGGAATTTATCTCGAAGAAACCGCACGGCTGTCACTACAAGTATCGGTATTTGCGAAATTAAGTTTCCTCTCGAGTTTTACTATTTAAGATATCGGAGAGACCGGCGGCCGCGAGACAGATCGGAATTTCCACAGTTTCTTAGCCACGTCTCCGTCGTAACCGTAAGTTATTTCATGACGCAGATAATACTGTACTCTTCTGATAATATTTATGGAATTCGCTTCTATTGTGTGTCTGCGAAATACCACCACCAACCGCCAGCTATGAAATACCTAAGTCAGTAATCTTCAAAATGTCTTTGCGATATCGGTTAAAACATGATTACAATCCGCACTGTTTCTCCCCGAGAATATCTCCTTTTAACATTCTTAACGTTTAAATGTTCTACAGTAATAAGTTTACGCGCACATTTTACGTTATGTAGCAACGTTAAGTAATATATCATAGAATACTTAAAATTAAAAAAAAACAATAATAATTAAAAATAAGTTGCAATGATTTAAAATCATTAAAGATTTGCGTTTTCTTAGAAGAGAAAATAATTTCTAAATTGAGCCTTGTAGGCGCAATTGTAAAACTTTTTTTATTGTGTCATAAAAAGTTTCGTTAATATTGTTCTTATTTTCTCTTTAAAATTTAAGACAAATAATATAAATTTAAGATAAATAACATAAATTTTATTACACTTGATAAGAGATAAAAAATATGCGTAATTAGAGCTAAAATTTTGGATAGCGCGGTGATATCTCACGTTGTACATGCGACGGATGACTCTACGACCGCAATAAGTCTTCATGAGCGGTACCCCATAATTTTCCACTCTGATTGAACGTTATGATCCGTTTACCGCATGTACGTAGACCTCTTTTACTGTCGAAAAACGAATGAAAAAAGACACATTTTTCTGTGGCTCGACGGTGGTCCTCTCGCCGGTGTGTCATCAGCCGTAAATGCGCCCATAACTTCCCGCTTATTTTTCTCGAAGCGCATCCTTATTTTTTCACAGTTTATTTACCGGATTCCGCGTCACATAATTTTCCGCTTTATAGCGCTGGAGAAAATTCAGCGAAGCTGCGAATTACCCTGCGTTCCTGGCACGAAATAGCGATCAAGCATAATCAATCCATTTTACACGTTGGAATTTTCTGTAATTTTTGATCATGATACGTACAACGTATTAACGCCTAGACTAACACAAATTATGCATGAGGCAGCAAATTTAGGGAGGCAACATTCTTGAAAAAAAATTCTAAAAAATTGCCAGTTTCTGCTAGATTCAGAAAATTGCCCATCGAAGGCAATAATTAACAGAATTTAGATTTAATTCTGAATAAAGATTAATAAGAACGAATTAAAATTTAGATTTTATATATATATATATATTATATAAGTTACATTTGAGGCTTGAGGTTGGCAACAATTTAATTACAATTTAATAGGAATGGTATGAGTTCTGACTCTGAGTAAATAATAAAATACTGAACTCTGAAGTAAATGTGATTTCAAGTGTAACTTTTGAAATTATCTGACCAGAACAAAGCAGTATTTTTTAATAATTTCTAAAATAATTCGCGAGTTATAAAATAGAAATTTTATTTTCTAAAATAGCGACAGTTCAACTTTATAGAAATATTAAGCAAAATAATATTTTTACAATATATGGCTCGACGATATATAAGTACCCGATTCTAGGTACTGTTATTCTTCACATATGTCGCAGATTATATATGACAAGAGAAAATTGATATGATGTACTTAATAAATGTAACAAATCGATTCATTACTCACTCCAGCGCTTTTAAATAAACGAAATAGATATTGATCAAATTCCGAGTGACCGTAATAATATTGTAATAAAGCATAGTACGTACTCACAGGATTATTTCTGTTTTTGGCATTAATTTTGCTTATTCACAAAGGATGCGATGTGTAATGCTCATATTCATGTGTTATTCATATGCTTTACTATTTTATGATCTTCTTTTATAAATAATTCAGTGCGCGACTGTAATTTTCACTTTTTAATATTTTTAAAAACATATTGCAATATTTCATACATTTTCTATTCAAAACGAGGCAGAATGAATAATGTCGGTATTTCTTCTTATGAAATTAGCATCTTTATGGAATGTAGCTTTTATAATCCGCTTAAAAATTGGCAATAAAAATTATTATATTATCGCATTATGTCGTGAGTTTCACATTCGCGTTATCGCAGCGAAAATTCTACACGTCGTCGCGCGATTGAAGCTAAATTCCGGGCAAGTTATTGATGAGAAGCGTGCATAAAATTGCAGATTTACATGCAACGGTACGATCAGCATCTGCATCCCCGCGCGCATGTCAAAATACCTTAACACAAGTCACAAGAGTATAAAGAAGAGTGAAACATGCAACAGAATTTACTACTACTAGAATTTCGAGAAATAACAATATAGCATACAATAACTGTCAAAAGTTTTCGGCCAACGTATATAATTTTTATCAATCCGTTTTTCAAAATTTTATAAGTTGATAAAATTCTTTTATAATTCTATTATAATAAAAAACAATTCTATCAAAAATATTTGCTCATGTATGTAAAAACAATCGTAAAAGAGAATTAAGGCCAAAAAATGAGCAATAAATATAATCTCTTGGGTGTTGCTTTAATTTATAATACTATATACCATCATTAAAAGAATATGTAACATGCATCTCGACACAGTATCTTTATCAGCTACAATATTTTAATATTGTAGAGTTTATTCTATATATTTGTTTAAAATTTCTATTTATAAAATATAAACTATTAAGCCTGCTTTGAACGTAACGTGTGATAATAACAAGGCTGTAATATAGTAGTACCTACATATATTTATGTAATTTTTTTTAATACACAGAAGATTTTTTTATTTATAAAAACATTCTTGTTATAATTAAGAACACAATATTTTAAAAACTAAAATATATTAAATATACTAAGTAGATCTTTATTTGTAAATATTCTTTATCCGAGCAATAATAAAAGAAAATTATTCATTGACCGGAAACTTTTGGCCACCACTATATGTAAAATTCTTCCGTCGTTACTTTTCAATAAAAATAATTTACCAGTCCTCAGTTTATCTCTTTATCAAAACGTGAATAGAACGGCGTAACAAGCTGGACAAAACCGAGTTTGATATCTATGAGTTAACCACCCCCGCCGGCTTCGGAGCGCGCGTGCAATCCTAATGACGGCAATTTTATCGTGCTGTCGTGTAAAGAGCGAGTGTACGCGCGCAGGAAGCGCGCGATGCTATCCCGGCGTACTCGAACTTCTCGTTGAAGTCACGCGATCAGATAAACTCGAAGGATTAACAGTTAAACCGCCGGTGTAAACGGGGCGCGAAGAGTCAAGAGTGAAAAGAGCGTGCGCTGTCTACGCCGTCCGGGGAGGGTGGTTCGGTACTCGGTAGATTTAAGAGCGCTGTGCAGGGCGAGGATCGGTAAGCTATGGAACGTACGGGGACAGTGGCGGCATGTTGGCGCGTCATGTCGAGAGCCGAAAGTCCGCGAAACAATATCCGAGCTTTCCATCCACCTTCCTCGTCCCGTCTGGCCATGCCGTACCGGTTTTTCGTATCCTCTTTTCCGCCATTCTTCCGGGGGATGTTCTTGTCACAGATTGCGCACGGTTGGGATTATGGATTTACCTTGATAAATGAGGACTCGATATCAGAGGCGTAACTCTGGGATGAAGATCGCGTTGCTTTAAATTATAAGTCTGCGGGTTTGATTTCTCTTGAGATATTATATTATACAAGAGTATCTTTCTCTTCGATACTTGAAACTCTCTTATCATATCCCGTGATATAGTTTAAAGGATGAGTCGTCTGTATTAAATGATCGGTATTACTTCCATTGTAAAAATTTATTGATTATAGATTTCTAATAATTTGAAATATATTAGACGTGCGTAACTCGTAGTCTTTCCGATTTCAATTTATTACTTCTCTCGGTTTCAACTTATTACAAAAGAAAAATGAAGATAACTATTTTTTCGATAAAAAAAAAAAAAGAAAGCACACACAGCAGTACTTAAAAAAATATATTATCGCTAATATAAGTAATTTCAAAAGCTGTTTGAAATTTCTTCGCTTGCGTTTCCAATAATATGTAGTTTCTTCTAAATCAGACGGTACGATAGTTGGCCACCGTCAAAAAATCGCTACGAAACAATAGGGAAGATCGTCAGGGCATCACGTCTCCGGTTAAAAGACCGTGAAACAATATCTAATCTGACCACCAGCTCGCCGTTATCTCTTTTCTTGCTCCCCATCATCCCAGCCCCACGTACTTCTGTGTCTCGTATTAGTTATCGTTTATATCAGCCGACCAGACAAAACGCGCCGTCCGGAATTGGGTGAGCCATCTGTTGCCAGACATGATCGATAAAAGTCTGCCAAGTGTTATCAGTGCTAAACTGCTATTTAGACGGGCTGCCGCACCCTCTCTTCCACTTCTACTTCTTCTTATAGTTCTTCTAACCATCGGCACCGGTCTACCGCAACCTGTCTCTTCGTTCACAGCAGCTGTATATCGGGTGTCGCGGACTTATCGAGATAAATTTTATTCCCGAAGGAATTGTTTGACCGCTACGGAGTCGATTTTCAAATTCTCGAACAAAAAATCTCAGACGAATGTAATTGCGAAAATGTTTTATATATCGTGAAAAAAAGTCTTTGCACGTTCAAAATCGTGAATTTTCCACGCGGAGGCAAAGGTGAAATTTTTGCGCAGAGAATTTACGTCGAAATATATTCGGATTAAATTCATTAGCAATATTGCTGAGTGGAGTTGACCGAGCAAAAGGAAAATTAGGATGGAAACTGCGCCTGGCTGCTGGTTTGAGCGTCCCGTAATGAATAAGTAGCAAAATGGCTAGTAGAGAGCACATCTAATTCAATATCATTGAAACACGATCTTGTCAATTAACTCTGTGATTTCGGTATTTAGTAGCTTCGTCGAAGGTATATAATCAATATAGGAGTTAGACATTCTAACGTTACACGAATCCGATTACGTTAATATAATTCTGTTCACATATACGAAACAAGACATCTCAACATTTAACATTTAATCAAATCTCACCAATTATTTCGGCCGATTTGAACCGATTTTCAAGTACATATCTTTTTTTATAAAATATAATTTTGAAATCTATTTAGAAAGAGCTACTTAATAAAAGCAGTAACTACAAAGTTCTCAATAATGTTTAATATAGAATTTAATCGTGTGAGGATTATGTTAGAGCTGTAGTATGTTAAACTAGTATGAGAAATTAACGTCGATTATTTCCTAGAGCAAACCATACCGATTGATCTCCTAACATACGAGAGATAATGGTGTCTCATATCGTTGTATCCCTCCTCCCCTCCCCTGCAACATCATGTTTCCCGCTATCACGTATCGACTTGCTCATCATTCGCTCGTTGAATTTCAATGGAACGTGCCACGGATATTAAGCATCGCTGAAAAATACGCGAGAGATGTCAAAGACAAAGATATATTCAGGGGAAATTCATGTGATAAATATTAAAAAAATATACGCACATATCTCATAGCTAAAAAAGAATTTCTGGAGATAAAAAAAAAGAGAGAGAGAACCGAGTCCATTCGTTTTCTATTGCGCGCAACAATAGCATTGCACGAAATTCCAAAAAAGAATTTTCACTTCACTTTTATTCGCCTCGCGTGTGTCGAATGACATTGAGTGTAAAAACATCGTACGATACCCTCCATCGAGCTTCTATACATGCGGAAAAAAATGATATCTACTCACACCGAATCGCGCCGACTGACCACAGTTGAAATAATGTTTCGACGGTCGTGCCTTGAATTCGATAGCAATGAAGAAACTGCAAGCTTGGCGCTCTCATTGCACGTGCGTAACAGAAGTATCGACAACTCTAACGTTCCTCACATCGACTCGACAACTTGTAAAAGGATCGCGTTTAATCCTCGCTTTTATTTAACTCTTTTTGTCTTTCTCTCTAAGTACAGCAATTTGTTCAAGACAGACTTAAAAACAAAAATGAGAGAGGTGAAAAGAGATTTAGAAAAATATCAAATATAGTTTAAGTTTCGAACTTTTTTAACAATTGGAAGAATTTTTAGAATACAATATATTCTAAATTAATATACAGATTAGCTAAAAAAAAAAATAGTTCTTCCCCTTTTTCGGAAAATTTAATTTTTTTGTATTATGTTTTTGAAATAAGGGAACGATGTTATTCAGAAAAATATTAATTGAACTCTTCCCTTCTTATTACATTACAGACATGGAGCTACCTAAACATTCCAGAAAGGGCAGTGACCGGCGATCAGAGGATGACGCGGGCGATTCGATTGGTGATCGCGATCACAGATTGAACCACGCGCATCAAGGATCCCTGAGGGAAACAGGATCGACTCTGGAACCAGCCTTCGACGCGGACGACAATTCAGCGTCTACAACGTCGAGAGACAACGCGCCGCCGGCGACGATCGGCATCGTCCTGATCATGCTGCACCACTTGGTCGCTTCGACGTAAGATAGACGTAACCTATTTGCCCTTAAACGCAAACTACGTTTACCACGAGCTCGATTCGCTAACCTAAGGAAACTCCGAGATAGCGGCAGAGTAGCTCCGTCGCCTCGCGTTCTCGGCAATCCACGACATTATTATTGTCGAATCTCATCGATATCATGTCAACCCTGACGGAAAATTAATCATGATATTTTAAACGGAAGCGATTACTGTGCTGAATGATACATTCGTAAATGTAATAAGGCTCACTAAACCGTTAAACAAAATTCTTCTGCAGAAATCGGAAGGTAAATTGACGGACATCTCGACTATTATTTTAATCCTTTGCGTGATAACGTTTTATGGGTCCAATTTTTTTTTAATGAAAACAATTATGTTTTCATTATTTTATTCGACAAATGACAGATTAAAATTACCTATCTATCTATCTATCTATCTATCTATCTATCTATCT